CGATCGCCACGGCACTGCTGCCGCACCCCCTGATTTGCCCTCTAAGTTTGGGTCCGGACATACCTATCGTGTAACGCAGGGCTTAGGGTTCAGGGTTTCGGGTCTAGGGGTTTAGGGTTTAGGGCTTCATGACAGAAACCTCCCTGGTTCCTAGGCTCCTCGTATGATTAGGGTAATGGCTTCCTCAAATAGACCTCTAGGCTCGCATTTTTAACAGCCTTCCAACCCTGTATAAGCCTAGTTTCCATTTCATTGTGCATTTGCTTCTCCATCGTTGGTGAGATATCTCTACATCTGTCCTCTGTGTATATGTGTATGGATATGTATACATGAACCCTATATAGCCCCTATCACCCAAGATAATCCCTATATTGGGATCATGTCGTATACATAATATATACCCTATGAATACCTAGACTCTACTGTGAGACTTCGTGGCCCTCAGATTCACCGTTTATTCACTGGGGCTTCGTAGGGAGAATATATCTATATATATATATGTATACATATTGTAAAGCGGCTATATGGGGATCATATTCCCATATTCCCAATAAACCCTAACCCCCCGGGTTTAGGGCTTCAGGGCTTCTTCCAGAAAGCTGTCCTGTCATGCCTTTGCACATTGCCGCTCTGTTGCTGTACTTCTATTGATACTTGAGACATCACCAGCTAGGGTGTGTTGTACAATGTGTACGGTCTCTGTTTAGGGTTTAGGGTTTAGGGTACTAAGGGTTTGGGCGTGTTTGATTTTAGAACGCTAGACCCTGGTCCCTAATCCCTGAACCCTAATGGTATGTACTCATGCCTGCCAGTCATAGAACTGCACGTAACGATTCCCTGGGCTCTCCATGCAGAAAGCCCGTTCCTCACATGAGCTATAGTCTAAATTCCTTAAAGGGGGCTATATAGGGGAGTATTAGAGGGGTTTTAAGGTGGATACGAGGAGTTTAGACTATAGCCTATACTTGGAGGCCCATGGGACTTAGTACTTACTTATAACTGGGACTATAACCCTACTTGTGATTGGGGGGAAACTCTATAAGCCCAATTAAGGGGATTATAAGTAGGATTAGAGGCTTAGTTATAAATAGTTACTAAGTCCCATGGGCCTCCAAGTAGCTCACATTGCCAGCTCTTGGCTTCATGTGGTTGTGTTCCGTACAACGCTACCCAGACCCCCAAGGATCTAAAAATTAGATCCCCTAGAATCATAGGGGGAATTATGTAAGGATTATATATGGGTTATAATGGGTCTATATAAGGGATCTAATTTTCAGATCCTCCCAGGGGTCGGGGTAACCTAGCGCCATAGAGAATTATCGTCAAATACGTTGGAAGGCTTATCCTGGCCGCTTTGAACCCTGCACCCCTGTGTATCCTAAGCTCCAAAACCTGCAGAACTTTTAAATTCCCCTTGCAGAATGGCAGCAAGATCTAAGGGTGGATAAAAGGGCTTAACAAGGGCATATGTACACACACTACGACTTTCTAGGTCCTCCAGCCCCCTAAACCTTGAACCCTAAGCCTTAAACCATCTTAAACCCTAAGCCTTACACGTTAAACCCTACCCTAAACCCTAAACCCTAAACCCTCCGAGTTTGGTTCAAAGCCAGGCTGACCATGGGAGTCCCACTGCCTTGCAGCTTGCAGCAAAGGGTGGACACCTTGCCACTTGGCCCTTCCCAGCTAGGGTTTAGGGTTTAGGGTTTAGGGTTACTGGTCCATATGTACTATAGTCTAAACTCCTTAAAGGGGGTTTGTATAGGGATTTATATAGGGGACTACTATAGGGGTTATTTAAGGGGATACTAGGAGTTTGGACTATAGCTCATATAATAACCCCAGATACCCCTATTATTAACCTACTTACTGAGTCCCCATGACTCTGAGAGTATAACCCACATATCTATTGGCTTAAGCGATGCTTCAAAGCCTGTCATGCTGCGTAGATGTTTGTCCACAATGGGGATGGCAAAGCAGTAAGTACACGGATCTTTGTTTAAGCTTCAGGCTTGAAAGGTTTAGGGTGTAGAGTTTAGGGTTTGGGGTTTAGGGTTAGGCCATGTGCCTGGACAGACGTCATGTTTGAGTCAAACTGTGGCTTGCTCAGCCCGTAACCGCAGATGACTTCAGGGCGTCCCCGTCTCTTTGGGAGGCCTCGTTTACTCTCCAGGAGATAGACGGTAGTTTCCCAAAATAGGGCTAACCCAATGTAGACCCCAATATACTATGATCCTTAGTATGGAGACCTCCAAAAAGTACCCCTATTTTTTGTGGAACTGCCCAAAATATCTCCAAACCCTATAAACCCTGAATCCCAAACCCTAATGCTTTAAGAGTTGGCCCCAAACAATGAGCACTCCCACAAGTGCATTATTATTACAATCACCCTCCAAGTTCCCAGCAAAATTCCTTAAACTTTGGGGAAGAGCCCCCAGATAAGATAGGCTAAGATAAGGGAATCTAAGGCAGCAAGGTTTAGTCCCTTGGAGAGAATACATGAGGGTTTAGGGTTTAGGGTTTGGGGTTAACCGAAACTCCTTCAAGGGGTTTTATGCAGGGGTGTATATACTGGACTCTTATAGGGGTTAGTAAGGGGGATGCTAGGAGTTTAGACCCTAAAGCCTAAACCCTAAACCCTACATTCTAGGGCGTGTTAAGGGAGATACTGAGATATTAGGAGTTTAGACTATAGCTCTTATGAGGGACAGCAAGCTCAGATTCGCAGTCGTCTCAAACTCTGAAACAGAAGCTTGAAACCTGAGACCGCTGGTATGGAGCCTACATGCGGTTTATTTAGGGTTTAGGACCTAGGGTTGGTAAAACGCCTAATTTAGAGCTACTTTATTGGTCCCCATCATGAGAATTTCAGGATTTTGGAGTCAAATTATACTGGGGCCCCCCTGCCATGCTCAGCCTCGAATCCAGCTTTGAAAGCTCTCAAGCCTGAAGTCCCACCGGCCCGATGCGAGAAGGTAGAGAAGATAGAAAGTGTACGCTTACCCCACGGAATTCAGACAGGGCCCATGCTTTTCTCCTGAATCTTGAGGAGTCTTCCCATCCATAAATAACCCAGACCTATTTAGGAAAAAGCTCAACTTGCAACCAGGTTATCCGCCTTATAACTACCAATTTAGACAACACAGGTGTTTGGTAATATCCCTGTTCAGAACCAAACTTACTGGGTGGTTAGTAGTATAGTCCCCATAACTTAATTTCTATGGCCTATATTCTGTATAATCCCTATCTTACATAGTCCCTTATTCTTTACCAACCGCCAGTAATCAAGCCAAGGAGATTACCAGCTCTTTGCTGCAAGGGCGGGCAGACCCGGAAAAAGCAGCAGAGGGCGAGGTTTCCGCGCCCTTGTCTCTCGATCTGAACATGAGCATGTCTGAAAAGCATCTGAAAAAGTATAATGGAAAATCAAAGGGAAAGTACTATAGTATATTGGGGCCATATGGGTAATGGAAAATGAAATGGAAACTACTATTTAGGGCGAGGTCCCTGGCATCTCCCAATTTTCGGAAAAGCCTAGTGGGAGCTTCAGGTATAGCGTATAGAGCTTGGGGTGTAGGGCTGAGGGCGTCACACGTTCTCTGTTCGGCAGCTATGGATGGGCCCGTTCTAGGAGAGTCCTCTTTGGACGGGGCACTCATGAGTTTGGGCATAGCTTGACGGAGTTCTGGCCCCCACAACATATAAGCCTAGTAGGGGATTGCTGCGGGCTACATATTGCTTGTTGTCAGCAGGGTTTATAGTAATCTAGTCGCCCCAACAAAAGGTAACAACTTACAGGCCCCAACTGTTAAGGATGAAGCCTAATCAACAGAACGCGAGCTCGAAGCCCTAAACTTTGAGCCTTGCACTTATTATTGTATGAGGATTAGAGCGTTCTTTCGGCGAGCGATCCCGAAGAAGAAGAGGGAGCCGTTCGCGTACAGTCTCACCCTGGTAAGTGAGCCCCATCCCCAAAGGTTGGGTTTCCGATTATCGCCAAATGATAAGCAGTCCTGAGTTAGGCCGTCTTATTCTGCGCTGATACTGGCCATCAAGCCCAAGCTCCATGTCATGTTCCATGCGATTCTCCATTCTTGGGCTCGCAAAATCGTTTGAGAGCTCCTAAACCTTATATATCCCACATTTATATTCCCCATGAATCAGGGTTACCCAACCCCTCACACTTTTCGGCTATTTTACCTTAAACGCTAAACCCTCAACCGTAACCCTATAAGCCTTAAACTCTATTAGCATGAGGCTTGAGGCTGCAGGTCGCGGCTACCTTGAGATTCTGCGCCTTCTGTTGGATGCCAGGGCAGACAAGGACCAATTGATTTAGGGTTTCGGGTTTAGGGTCTGGCTGGGGTTTGGGGAATGACGACCTCACCGAGAATAGTCGCTCCGATAGAAATTGGTCCCACGTTGGCTCAGTTTCAGGCTCTGATATCACCACAGGGTTTGAGGATTTCAGTTTACAATCGATCTGGGGTTTGGCCGTGAATCTTCGATTTTGGGCTTGGTATAAGGCTGAAGCTGCCAAAGTTTAGGAGTGAAGCATCACAAACATGGTCTCACTCCTGGAAATGGTTTTCTCCTACATCTACATCATTCTAGTTTTTAGTTTTGCCCAAAGATGATTGGAGTGCAGCACACCCCCCCCCCCCGCCAGAATCTGCGCATGATGCCGGAACTATGACATTGTCCTGTTGGACGCCAACCTGTTTGTTTGAGAGACACTCTTCTTTATGCCAAATCCAGATTGTAACAGCAAGCCAGGACTGTCGGAAGCCTTCTCTTTGCAAACCCGTCTGCGACGCCAGGACAAGGTAGATGGCTCCGGCATGACTGCCCTTCACATGGCCATCCGCAATGACCACGTGGACATTTGCCACGTCTTGATGGAGAGGAGAGCAGACCTGAATAAGTTGGACACTGAGGGTGCCGCTCAGTGTCAGCGGGAAACGACGCGAGGAAACTTGGACGCGAACACCTCTTTGGCGCAGGAAGGGTCACAGGTGCAGAAGCGGCCATGCTGTGCGCATGCTGCGGCCTCGAGCATCCCAGAGAGATCCGAGGGCTCTGACCCAGCGACCACGACTGATGCGGAGCTGCCTAGGAAAAAGTCAATGTCAGGGTTGACGTGGCTGGCCGGGGCTTAGAAAAACCAACTAGTATGTGGTGTTGATTCGCCCGATTGTCTTGTCCCTTCAAACTCCAACCCTAAACAAGAAATGATGCCTCGTCGTGGTTAGGAACAGCAAGAGCAGAAACAACAATATAGACCCCTGATTATTACGCCCCCTCCCTTAATGGGGACTATAATAGGGATCCTAATGTTAAGGCCCTTAAAAGGAGGTTTAGTAATCATGGGTCTACATCAGTTATGACCGCAACCAGTGTACTACAACCATCCTTCTTTGCTTTTATCTTCTGCTGAAAAGTCTCATAATCATAGTGCTCAGAGCGGTGTTTCCAGCCTCCTTGCCAAGGCAAGTATGAGGGACCATGACCTAATTACCTGCATTCCAGGGCCTTTTGTCCCGTCTAGCTGGTAAAATTTCATCGTTTCTTATACTTCCATGTATGAGAACATCGTTTTTTGTACTAGATCTGCCTAGGTCGCGATCGGCAAGGATTTAGGGCGCAGGGGGTCCTAGCAACAAACCTGCCATGCCCCAGCAGAATTCTAGTTCCCCCCGTAAGTAGATAGAATATGGGATATATGGGGTATATGGGGATCTTATTATGATATACCCAAAGCCATAATATTCTTTCTACCTAAGGGGGACTAGAATCAGAGTCCAGGCTTGGGGATATAGGGCCCAATCATGGAGAATCAAATGGAAAAGAAATTTAAACAATAAATGGAAACTGGGATTATGTAGGGCTCATAGGGATATGTTAGCTACTGTCCTTTTTAGGCTTATTCAGGAACTCTGAATAGTCCACACACCGGGGTCCCTCATGTAGTTTGGTATAGTCCCTAGCAGAGTCCCCAATAAGGAAGCCATGTCCATTCAGTATGTAGGAAACATGGAGTGTAGCTCATTTGTTTCTTCAGGAGTAGACGGGAACAATTTCTGCCAGGGGGTGTGGCTTCGGACTATCCTTCCATGATTCTTACAGAAGCCAACAGGGGAGCCCAATAGCCTGATCAGAATCGCCAGCGAATCCCCATATGGGGTGGGGGGTTTTCCAAACTTAGTGGTACCTTCGTGGGGGTCCCCATAATCAGGATTATAGCGTTCGCTGGCTATTTTGGGGTGCCCCTATTGAGGGAAACTCCAATTTGTTCTGTCCCCTTGTGCCTCCACTTAACTGTTGAGAAATTGCCTTCAAGCTGGCCCCTAGCGCTCAGAACACTTCTACGATAAGGTGCCATGAAACCCAGACCAATAGAACTACAGCTTCTTAACATGGATCGAGCTGAAGTCATTATCCGCACGCTGCACATGTTTCGCCGTGGTTCTTCCTGAAACCATCAAATCCCGTCCAAGCAGTACGCTCTCTTTTCGGGGTACCTTGTATTCTGGGAACGGATCTGAGATGCAATCTGGAGCGTTAGTGTTGCAAGAAGCAGGGCAGGGCGGGAGAGGCTACTTGGAGGCTCAGGGCTCAGGGTAGATACAACCCGATTCTAGTTATAGGCAGATAGTTCTAAGTCGATCAGAAGTACCCCTGGACCGCAAAGCACGCTAACCCAAACGTCGAATATTCGTACTAGTGTTGGTAGGGAACAAGGCAATACACTCCATGTATAACCCCAATAGAAGATATTCCCTTATTCCCTATTGACGCCCAGTATGTCTTGCTATGAAACTGACACCGCCAGGCGCTGGTGCTGCGGCCGCGGCTCGTGTTAACGAATGCTTCCGATGTGGGCCTGGACTCCCTGCTCCGCTAACTTGCTGAGGGTTAGTAGGGAAAGGGGGGATACATTATATGGGGATTCCCTTCCCTTATCCCTTACTAACCCACAGAAAGCTAAGCTGAACTCTGCATGACAAACTGCTAGTAGAAGTCTAGGTCATACCATGCCACAATTCTGGGAAATCCCGACCTTGGCATGCTATGATGTGGACAAGCAGTTAGAGTCCCGCTTACGTAGATAGAGTATGGGGTATATGGGGATCTTATTATCATAATACCCAAAGTCACATTCTGTCTACTCAAGGGGGACTATATACCCTAGTCCCTAATCCCTGAGCCTTGTATCTCCCTTTATCCCACCTCATCGGAACCTTCATTTCAGGGTCTGGTTACAGTCCCTCTTAAGCAAATACAGTTTAGGGTTTAGGGCTTGGGGACACAGAATTTCCCAAAATCAGAATAAGATCCCCATATACCCCATATTCTATCTACTTGAGGGGGACTATACATGTAAAGATTTTAGGATGACGCCTCCCGTCCGCCATTTTTTGCTGTATCTTTGTGCCCTGACGGTAAAAACCCAACCCAAGAATGATAAAGCATCCACCGATATGCAACGCTGCTATATTGGCTGTTGTTGTTTTTTAAGGGGTGGGTTTAGGGTTTAGGTCTGGGGGAGAGAATAATGGAGTAAATGCAGCAAGTGGTTGTCATGAGCTTGTCCAGTCTTCCCCCTAAGCCCTTAACCCCTGAAACCGTAAAACCCTAAACCTTGAGACACTAAGCTAAACCCTGAACCCTAAACCCTAAGCCATAAACCCACCCAAAAAGTGTTTTTTTTGGTCCAAACCAGAGCAGAGGATTTCAGACGGCTGCCTGCATATTCTAGGTTATGCTCCCACCCACTGACAGTGACCACAAAGGATAATGAATTCTAATCCCCCTAAAGGGGGTTATACGGGGGTACACATATTGTTTGGGGTTCAGTGTTTAGGAGTTTAGAGCTTAAGTTTCAGAATACCCGTCCCACACTCCAGTGAGAACGAAAAGCTCTAATATAGTAACATTTTATGCTGAAGCAGAATTCTTCACTGGGGGGGTAGGTAGGCGGGGGTTAGTAGGAGGAGGACAGTATGCACATGCTAAATTCAGAACACCATTCAATTGCTTTCTGATGTTATTCCTGTCCAAGGCTTCCCCGTAGAACATTCCAATCTGTCGTGGACGTATCAACGAAGGTGCATGATGCTGTTGATTAAAAAAAAAAAAAGCTTGCATGACCCGAGTGTACTATACCACGATAATTCCTAAGGTCCAGGGTCGGGCGCAGGATTTTTAACATTCCCCGTAGCATGTTTTGAGCGTACAAGCCCTTCTCCCTAAATCTCAGGCTTGTTATCCGCTAAAGCCTTTAATCCCTAGACCCTGATTAAACTCAATTCACTATTAGACTTAACCCTAAACCCTAAACCCAATCTGCATCCCTCAAGTCTAAGCAAGCAGGAGCTGGACCTCCAAAGAGGTTCTCCGACGCCACTGCATGCAGGAGAGCCGGCCGGCAGCAGTTAAACTACCTGTACTGCTGGGGTTATGTATTTGGCATATCGGAATATGGTAGTTCCCCTAAATAATGGACCCCAATATAGACCCCAATATTTTATAATCCTTTTTATAGGGATCCCCAAAAAAGGTACCCCTAATTTTGGAAAGCCCCCATATATATATATATATGTATGTATATGTATGTTTACCTTGCGGATCAGCACAATTGGAAGCTTAGGGCCTCAGCCTGAAACTGAGGGTTAGTAGGGAGTGGGGGGTGATTGTAGGGACCATTTTTGATCTTTCGCGCGCGCTTGGCTTACTGTTGCTTAAGGAGAAGTGGCGCAGCGCAAAAAAAAATCCGGGATACTATGTCATTTAGGCTTGAGTGTTAGGTTCTAGGACTGGCTGCAGCCTAAAGGGGGATTGAGGGAGTAAAGATACAAATTGCGGGGGATCAGAATCTGCTGCTTACAGGGGCTCACTCCCCCTTTCTATATCAACCACCAGGAAGGTAGGGGGGAGTGGGGTAGTGAATGTGGGTAGTAGGGCTTGGTGGAAGAAATCTCGTACCAGTTCAAGCTCCCGACATAGTGCTGCTCCTTGGAGATTGCGACAGAGTACGCAGGTAAGGCGGCACAACTTTCCCCATATCTCGCTGGATTTATGTATATATAGATATATATGTATACATCTGTATGTATACGTGTAGAGGTTACAAGAATCATTTTGATTGACTCGAGGGAGGTTTCACTATGTGTCTTCGGGGATCAGGGCCATAATCCTGGAAATGGGTATCCTTGAGGATTGCTCAGGACCTTTTGGACTTTAGGAGATGTTTGAGTTACCCAGGCTATACGTCGCTTCAGAACCCATGTTGCTCATTCTTGGCCGGTGGCATGTTGATACAAATGGTGCCAATGCAACCCTATTCCGGTGCAGATGACGTCGAGCCTCACACGGCCCACTTCCAACTTCCTAAGTCGGAGTTTGCCTAAGATTTTGCAAGAAGAACCTGATCTCTGCGCATGTCTTCTGATAGGAGCCCAGGTACAGTGTCGGGTGATATCCGCAATCCTGGTGATACGCTTTGTAGTGGCATTCGTCTCATACTCACTGGCGAACCCCTGTACTGTAGGGTGCCCTGAACCCTAACACCCGCAACCCGCGAACCATCGGCACAAGAACTGGAAGTAGCAAGCTCGGTTGGGTGTCATGCACAAACCTCCCTTGAATGTCCCCGCTGGTTACCTCACATACTCGTAACCTTTCCTAGTAAGAAAGGTTGTGTACATGCGCGATGTCGTATCGTATCTTTATGTGTATACCGACAGGTGTCTGATCTTCGAATGGATGATCTTTTGATTGGAAAGCTTACCTACTATCCCCAATAAAGCCTGTTGTAAGCCCCATAACCCTGGTCCTTAATTTGAGTGACTGAGTCAAGAGATCCTTCACGTAGGGA